TTAATAATTTGTTGTTATCTTTTGTGCATAGCATTTAATTATTTACAGGAATTTAAATGCCTAAGTAAAACTTATTAAATAAATCACTGGATGCGAAAAACGACAGCTAAAGATGATGACAGCAGTGTTGAGTAACGTCAGCAGAATCCACACTGTCTTTTTTGTCATTTGTTTTTTAGTTTAACTAAGCGSTAATTTATACAAAATAAGTTCGCCTGAATAGAAGTAACTAAATATACAMTACATAAATATTAATTAATGCGTATTCAAAAGTAACAGAATGTGTCCCAATTCCAATTCCAATTCCAGTGCCAGTGCCAGTGCCAATTCCGATGCGTTATCAGCCCTTGTAGAAGTGATAGAGCTCAATGTCGCCGTTGCGCTGCTGCGGCTTGGTGCGGCCCAAGGTGCCGCACGACTTGAGCGTGTATCAGTGATATCGCCGGAGGCTCCCGTTGTTGTTGTTGYTGCTGTTGCCGTTGACCAACACTGGGTTATTGTTTGACAGCGTCGCCACATTGTTGTTATTGGCATTGAAGGAACGCCTGCCGGTCGTATTGCCATGCACCAAAGCCATGCCCATGCCGTTGCGCAACGGCAGCGCCGGCGGCGGCGGTGTGGGCGTCGGACTCGGCGGCATATCATGGTCCAGCGGCAGCGAATAATGCGAATTGTTGTGTATATAGCCAGCATCGGCCATGGCATCGCAGGGCTTGGCATACACAGCGCCATTGTGATTGAAATGATCCTGGGTGAGCCGAATRCCGGCATGGCCATTGGCAAGCGGTTGGCTATAGTGCGACAGAGTGCTCTCCTGTACGCCGCACTGGCGCGCAGCCATGTGACGTGGCAGCGAGGCATTTAGGCCGAGTGCCTTGCCCCCGCCGCCCCCGCCGCCGCCGCCGCCGCAATTCGCCAGCAATCGCATGTCCTGCTGCGAATGATGTGAGCGCGGTGTAGTGGTTGCAGCTGTGGCCGCTGCTGGTCCTGTTCCTGTTCCTGGTCCTGTTCCTGTTCCTGTCTGTGGATTGTTGGTCATGTAGTGAATGTGGCTGAGTTGGGCAAAGGGCGCATGGGATGCATCGACGGCGCTGGGCACTTGCAGCTGCTGTAGCGCAGTTCCTGAGTTTGTCAAGGGCGAGGGACCGTTGTGACTGGCGGGGGCACCGCCCCGACCCCGCAGCTGAGGTGGGGGCGGAGCTTCTAGCTATAGCTCGGTGACTGGTATCGGCCGGCTGCCCAAATACTGAGACGAATTGTAGCTGCTGGGACAGGGGTAGCCCGACGCTGGATGCACACCGCCACAGCCGGGTGGCGGCCGTGTCATATACTCCTCATCCGAAAAGGTCTTCTGATACTCGCGCTCCTTGCGCCCCAGCGCCGAGTGACCCTTGAGCATTTCGCGTATGCGACGACGACACGTGTAGATCACCAGCGCCAAGGTGGTGATCAGCGCTGCACAGCCGACGACCATGATGCCAATGATGGCCTGCTTATTGCCGCCACCGTGGGTGCAGCCCAAGAGCGGCTCGGCCAGCTGCGTCAACGGCAGCTCCCGTAGATTGGCCGGATAGGAGCAGATGACGGGAGCGTATTGACTGCTTCCATTGCGGCTGATTAGCAGATTACGCAGCCACATCAGCTGGCAGTCACACACGAAGGGATTCTCCGAGAGATCCAGGGTCTGCAAGTCCGACCATGGAAACAGACTCTCTGACAACGTGCTCAGCTGATTCTCCTTCAGGATGACGGTGCTCAGGTGTGGAAAGCCGCCCACGGTGTTGGCCAAGAGCTCGTTGAGCTGCTTATTGGCCGACAGATTCAAGTGCTCCAGGTTCGTGTTGTCCGCAAAGGCGCCGCTCTCCACACGGCGCAAACGATGAGCGCCCGTGATCTCCAGATGGCGCAGCTCACGCAGACCGACAAASGCGCCCGTTGCGATTACCTCGAAGTCGTTCTGACCCAGCGACAGCTGCTCGAGCCGGCCCAGATGCTGCAGCGCAGCCGAGGGCACTGCCTGCAGCCGATTGTCGGAGAGATCCAGATAACGTATGCCCTCCAGACCCTTCAGGGCATCGGCCGATATATTATGCAGTCCGGCACCGCGCAAGTCCARACGCGTCAGCGCCGACAGATCYTGAAACGCGCCGGCCGGAATGGTCATAAACGAGTTGGTGCCCAAGTAGAGCTCCGCCAGGCCGGGCAGGGCTTGGAATGTGAGCTGCGATGGCACCGTGGTGAGTGTATTATCATCCAGATACAACATGCTCAAATTGATCAGCCCGTCGAAGGCATGCGGATCGATGTGACTGATGCGATTCTGGCCCAGATTCAGCTCCACCAGCTTGACCATGGGCGAAAAGGTGCGATACTCCAGCTCGGCAATCAAATTGCCCCGCAGATTGAGCACTGTGATGGTGGATAGGCCAGTGAAGGTTTTGTTAGTCACTTGCCCGATCTTATTGTGATTGAGATGCAGCTCCTGGAGCTTGGCATGGTAGGCGAATGAGCGCTCTGGTATCGTGACCATGTCATTGTAGGACAAATCAAGGAATGTCAGCTGCGAATAGAACTGCATCGATGAGTCGATGGTCTTCAGCTTGTTGTTCTTAATGACCAGCCGCTGTATGGACGGGTTCAGTGCGATGGGCAGCACATCGAGCGTGCCCACACCGCAGTTGACTTTCAGAGTTTCGTCATCGCATTCACAGCCATTTGGACAATTTGCCAGGCCATTTGTCGGCACGAGCAGCACCAGCAGCAGCGGCCCAAGCAGCAGCAGCCACGTTGTTGACGGCGACATGGTAATTGCCATTGCCGTTGCCGACGACCCTCGTCTGCTCATTATGTGCC